TATCCAAAGCATACTTAGTAGTACAATAAAAAGCTAATTAAAATACTAGCAAATTTTTTTAAAATCGTTTTTTATATTTTTAAAAATAATGATTTAAATCATGATTTCTATTTTTAAAAAACCATGGATTTGTGATTTTTATTCATAAAATTTACTGATTTCTTGATTTTTATTTAAAAAAATTATTGAGTTTTAATTAATTTGATTTAAATATGCCAACCCCAAGTTTTGAGGCTCGAGTTAATTTATTTAGGCGATTTCAAAAATGAGCTATACCTTCAAAAAAATACCGAGGCTCCAAAGGCTTAAAATATGGCAATTACTCAACTATATTCTTAAATACTAATATTTTTTAATGTATTTTGGAGGGAATATTGATGTCATATTTCATGAAAATTTGTATCAAAATTAAAATTGTTATTTTTAAGTTGACAGTGATTTAAGAATTTTCGCAAGTTTTTTTATTTTACTATAAAACGTATTCAAGCATCCTTGCATTAAATAATTAAATCCAAACAGGTTGTCAATTTGTAAAAAAATAATATTTAAATTTAAAAATAAGTTGCTATAAAATTTGAATGATCGAAATTATACATAAGTGAGAGAAAAAATTAGAAATATTTCTAGAGCTTAACAACCCTAAATATAATACTTAATAAGTAGGCATGAGAAGGCATTGTGCTAAAATCTTAAAGTTACAGGGTTTCCCATTCAAAAAAGGAAAAGTTTTAATCATAAAAGGAAAAGGTCCGATCAAAAAAGGAAAAAGGTCAATCATAAAAGGAAAAGGTTCAATCAAAAAAGGAAAATTCCCAAATAAAAAGGAAAGAGTCCGATCAAAAAAGGAAAAGGTTCAATCAAAAAAGGAAAAGGTTCAATCAAAAAAGGAAAAGGTTTAATCAAAAAAGGAAAAGGTTCAATCAAAAAAGGAAAAGGTTCAATCAAAAAAGAAAAAGTGTCAAACAAAAAAGGAAAAAGTCCAAACAAAAAAGGAAAAGTGTCAATCAAAAAATCCCAAAAGGAAAATCGTAATTTTTTTAAATTTTTATTATTCCTTCTAAATTTATTTCTAAATTTTTGCGATTTCTTTACGTTTTTTTTCTTACTGATCTTTTCTCAATTTATTTCTAACTTTTTGCGATTTTCTTTACTTTTATTTTTCTTACTATATCTTCTCTCAATTTATTTTTCTTCTCATTTTTGATAATTCTTTTGTATTTTTAAAAATAATTTATAAATTTAGGTCCATTTTTTAACAACTCTTTACGTTTTTTTTCATCATACATACAATATTCTTTTTATGAATTTTTCATTGTAATCTTTTACATACATTTCTAACCTTTTCAATCACTTTAAGTCATTTTCAATCTTTATTTTTTGAGCATTTCTCAATTTTTTTAAAATTATATTTAATGTTTTTGGCAGACAATATAATTACAATTGCTAAATTAAATTAATCGTTGGGTTATAATGAACCTTTTTAAAATTAAATAAGTTTGAACTGTAATACCAAACAATATGTAAATTAATAAAATATAATCATTTTTAAATTCTTATTTTTAAAATTATCAAAAATGAGAAGAAAAAAAATTGAGAAATGTACAAAAAAATAAAAATTAAAAATGACGAGATTGAAAAGGTTAAAAATGTATGTAAAAGATTACAATGAAAAAATCATAAAAAGAATATTGTATGAAAAAAAAACGTAAAAAATTGTTACAAAAATGGACGTACATTTATAAATTATTTTTAAAAATACAAAAGAATTATCAAAAATGAGAAGAAAAATAAATTGAGAGAAGATATAGTAAGAAAAATTAAATAAAGAAAATCGCAAAAAGTTAGAAATAAAGGAATAATAAAAATAAATAAAAATTGACAAGAAATTTTAAAAAATTACGATTTTCTTTTTTTGAATGGGAATTTTCTTTTTTTGATTGACACTTTTCCTTTACTTTTGGGAATTTTCCTTTTTCGATTGACACTTTTCCTTTTTTGATTGGACCTTTTCCTTTTTTGTTTGACACTTTTCCTTTTTTGATTGGACCTTTTCCTTTTTTGATTGAACCTTTTCCTTTTTTGATCGGACTTTTTCCTTTCTTGTTGGGAATTTTTTTGATTGACACCTTTCCTTTAATGATTGACCCTTTTCCTTTTTTGATCAGACCTTTTCCTTTTATGATTGAAACTTTTCCTTTTTTGATTGGGACTTTTCTTTTTTTGAATGGGAAACCCTGTATTAAAAATAAATATGAGATCATAATTGTAAAAAATAAAACGGTGTTTTTAATATTCATAAACACAATGTAAGTTACATAGTTGGAACTATCAACCGTGTTTTGTTATATGATGTGTCAAATTTTTATGAATAAAATATTTTTGGTGGGTTTTGGCACCGATCAAATTGTAAATTCATTATTAAGATGGGGGCAGATTAAGGAGGATATGTTACCCGCTGCCTATGTTATTGGGATTAGGCGGTAACCTAAAGGGATGTCTCAGCATCAATGACTTAGAGGTCAAGTCCTGCTGTTAATAAAATTTAGGGAAGATATAGAGATATAGTGTAAGCAAGCGAATAAAATTTAAGGACATTTGTGATTTTGCTAAAAATATGAATTAAAAATAATTAGGACTGCACAGACTCTGAATATCGGTATCGAGCCGATATTGGTTTTATTTTAAATATCATTCTTATGCATTGACACATTTTTACAATATGTATAATATTTTAAAGTATTTTTAGAAATAAATAAAAAAAGAAATAAATTTTGCACATAATTCTTTTTTTAAATATTTCTCCATTTTTAACCCGAAATTTGGAAACATTTTATTGATAAAGAATCATCTCCTATAACAAAAATAAAATGACCTTATTCACGAAATGACAAAAAAAAATCTTTTAACAATTAGTTTACGTTAAAATTTAGAAAGGAAATAAAATAACTGATGATAAAATTTTAAGAAATGAAACAAACAATAATAAACATTCTTACTAAAAAATAATAATTGGAAAAACATTGATTATATCTAGATACAATGAGGAAGATGATGGCTATAAGATCATCAACTTTCTTCCACAGTCAAAAGTATTTGTAAGGTAATTCGATTAGAGTATTTATTTCCAGATTATCAGATACTTAAAATGATATTTCTCTGATGAGAATATTTATGTGCCGATTCATATTTTTCGTCCATCATATATTACTAAAAACCCGATCCGATTTCGATATTTATATTGATTTTTATCTACCATCTATTTTTGAACCAATGTCATAAAAATATCAATATTTTATATTTTAAAAAAACCAGCAAACTTTCACGAACGATTAAATTTCGTTTTTTTATTCACCAAAAGTTAATATTCTATAAAATATTTGCAATGTATATGGATGAAAGTAGTGTTACTAAACAACTCCATTTAACCGATTTTAAAAAGGGTTAAATCAATTTAGCCAAAATATTATTACCCAAGCCTCAAAATTTCGGTAATTAAAGTCCAAACCTTTCGGCTATCTGTAGGTAAAATAAAAAAGCTTGAGTAATTTTGCCAAAATTTAACCGTTTTTAAAAATTGACTAAATCGAGCCGTTTAACAAACTCTAAATGAGACTAGTTATATATTTTAAAATATTGCAGATAATATAGCAAAAAATAGTGTAACCATTACGGTAAAATATTTGTATCTTAGATGAAATTATTTGTGAAATAAAAAAATTTACATAAATATATATATATACAATCATAAAATAACCCCAAATAAAAAAATATCAAAATCGGATTGGTTTTTAAAAAAATATCAATTCGATCTGATATATTTTGAAAACGTTAGAAATCAGTGCTGATCCGATACCTAATATAAGCCCAGCTTTAATAATAAATTATCAAAAAATGGCCAAGCTATTCTTTTTCTTATAAAGAGGATCTAAATGTTCATTTACTACAAACAACTGGATTAGAATGTTAGGTGGGAAATAAATAATTCTCTGACATGCCATTTTATGATTTACCTATATTTAATTAATCGTGATAATGCTCGAAATATAATTAGCTATGAATAACGCTAGCTTTCACGACATTATTAATACAAAATATTGGATCGGTATTGGGTTTTTTTGGAAAAATAGAGGCAAATGTCAGATCGGTGGGGAAAAGAAAGTGGATATGTGCAACCATGAAAATTATATTAATGCGTTTTTACATTGATATTATATTCATAACACAAGCTTGGAAATAATATATTTTTGAAAAGATATCTGGGACTTGAAATCATTTTCTAGCTTAAAGTCAATAATTTAATATACTCAAAAGTTTAACATTTATATTTAAAATTATTACTTTTCAGATTTTAAATATATAAATTTAAAAGTATGGTAGCAGCAACTGCATTTAAAAAGAATTCACTCTAAAAAAATTGCAAATTAAGCTTTCATTTGGTCAAAATTTTGCTTTATTTAAGAAAAAAAATATTTTTCAATTTTTTAAATAGATATTTTAGTCAACAAATTTAAAAAAAAAAAATCACTTCAATCTCTTGAAGTAGACTGCATTCTTGATTTGATAACATATCTAATTTTGGTGTTTGGTCGACAAAATAATAAATTCTGATTATATAGGTTTGGAATAATAGTTATAATAAAAATTGTCCCCTTTTTATTGAAAAAGTTTTTTTTTAATTTTATCATGAATGTCCACATGCACAAAAATAACAATTCCCAAAATATTTCTCAAATTGTTAAAGGCATTCTTCACAAATGACCTATAAATATATATAAAAAAAATTAATTTGCTCATTTAGATTTTTAGTATTCATTCATTATTTATAGGTCTTATTTAAATTTTGCTATATTAAGACGGTCACGATATTTTCATACCATTTATTCAAGGTTTTAATAATTAATAATGTTGTTTTGGAATCTCAAATAGTTCTTCCTTAAGCAACATAATAAGACATATACTGTAAGTTTAAAAAATCATGGAAAGGCTAGATGATATAATACCATGTTATTCGTGAGTAATCTATTTAGGGTCAAGTATGAGTTTGTGTTTTCTTGGTTGGGAAAAACTAAGGTTACCGTTTTAGCGTTTCTGAACATGTTCCCTAGTTTGTGAATTATGTCTTGTTGTATCGCTTGCATTACGAAATTATGAGGCCAAGAATCTGTTTTTCTATTAATTTTTAGTAATATTTTTAAAAAATGCGATGAACATGATCATAAAATTCAAGGTTCAAGAATTAAGAAATGATATATAATTTTACTAAAATTAGTGAATTTTTTGTAATCAAATTATAAAAAATAACCCATATTTTTGCTGTGTATAGTTTAACTCCATCCAGGTAATTTTAAAATGGTACGGATCTGTTCAAGGAAAAATGGTTCTGATAATTTATTTTTTATAATCAGAAATCTAAATTTATTATTTTTTCTTTGTGTTGAAAATATTATATTACATTTAATGAGCTTTAAATTATCTATTTAGGCCAATTTGAACCGAAGTTTTTTTTATTAAAATAATGTATCATAATCAACAGATAAATCTAGATAAAATTAATTTAATTATTATCTACTAGAGAATCTTCAAGACTAAAAAAATCTCTGGTTATGCCAGTCAAATGGTGCCAAATATTTATTTGAATAGGGCGGGCCATGAAATAAAAAATATTTTAAACCTTCAATATAAATCTCTGATCACAAAAAATTATTAGGGCCAGTAATTCTAAAAAAATTTATGGCTGACCAGGCCAAAAAAACTTATTTTAAAATTCAGGCCGGTTTAAGGGATGCTGATCTCAACATAATAAAACTTAATTAAGAAAATTATAATTTTTACTTAGTAATATAATCTTAGATTTTAAGAAAAAAATCGGTGAAATTCTCCGTTTTAGGTTGTTTTGTTATGATCTATAAAGGGGGAAAAACTGAGCGTTTAAGTTATTATTATGAGCGAAATAATAACAAGTCTTTTAAAATACGTAAAAACTTAAATATTTATATTAAAAATAGAATTTTTCGAGTTGAATTTCATGTGCGCAATGCTTTGCTCTATTTCAGATCAAAAGATAACTATTTTATTAGAATTACCTTTAATTGCTTCTATATTTTTCGTTCTATCCTGAATTATGATGCCATTATAGAAATTCAAACGCCTGGAAGCACTTAGCTAAAATAAATGCTGTAATAGTGGCTATTGAAAGTAGCTCGCTATATTTTTTAAGTAGCAATAGGTAGCGACGCTTCTTTTTTCGAAAATAGTTAAAATTAGCTCCTTTTTTAAAAAAATTCATTTAATATTTTAAAATGATGAATATTATTCATTTTAATTAATTTATTTATAATTTGAATAAATTGTATTGCTCTTGCCCCTTCTAATATAAATAGAGATGCTCTCATAGACGCTGAGTAAAATAAATTAGTTAAATATTCGCCATCACTACCTACCAACTATACATTCCTACCCCAAATCGCCACTTTAACATCGTTTGGCTCTCACTCCCTAACCTTATACGAGGGTTAATACCTATGTCAGGAATGACTCTAAAAAGTAATTATTTCCGCTTAATATTATCAATAAATGAGACCTAAAAAAGGAAAAGGTTCAATCAAAAAAGGAAAAGTGTCAATCGAAAAAGGAAAATTACCAAAAGGAAAGGAAAAGTGTCAATCAAAAAAGGAAAATTCCATTCAAAAAAGGAAAATCGTAATATTTTAAAATTTCTTGTCAATTTTTCTTAAATTTTTATTTATTTTTGTTATTCCTTTATTTCTAACTTTTTGTCATTTCTTTACGTTATTTTTCTTACTGTATCTTTTCTCAATTTATTTCTAACTTTTTGCAATTTTCTTTATTTTATTTTTCTTACTATATCTTCTCTCAATTTATTTTTCTTCTCATTTTTGACAATTCTTTTGTATTTTTAAAAATAATTTATAAATTTAGTTCCATTTTTTTAATAATTCTTTACGTTTTTTTCATCATACATACAATATTCTTTTTATGATTTTTTCATTGTAATCTTTTACATATATTTCTAACTTTCAATCTCTTTAAGTCATTTTTAATCTTTATTTTTTTGAGCTTTTCTCAATTTTTTTTCTTCTCATTTTTGATAATTTTAAAAATAAGATTTTAAAAATGATTATATTTTATTAATTTACATATCGTTTAAAACGATTAATTTAATTTAGCAATTGTAATTATAAATATAATTTTAAAAAATGAGAAGAAAAAAAAATATAGTTAAGAAAAATAAATTGAGAAAAGATACAAATAAAGTAAAGTCGCAAAAAAGTTAGAAATAAAATAAGAAGGAATGACAAAAATTTTTAAAAAAATGAAAAATTTATAATTTTTTTAAAAAAAATTTAAAAAATTACATTTTCCTTTTTTGAATGGGAATTTCCCTTTTGGGTAATTCCATACCAAATCGATAACTTTTCGGCTCGACCTTTTTAATTTCGATAAAATTTTGTATACTGAGAGAATATCATTAGAAAGCATCGAATCCAAAATTTTAGCCTCCTAGTACTCATAGTTCCTGAGATATCAATGGTCAAAAGTGCCAAAAATGACGTTTTTTCGAAAAATGCGATTTTTTAAAATTGAGATAAGTTAAAAAATAATGATTTTAAAAATATAAGTTATGTGTCAATTTATAACTCTATTAAGGGCCTTTTATTGAATATTAAAAAATTTTTCAAAATAATATTGTTGCGGTTTTTATTTAAGTTATAAATTTTAAACATGAAAACTCCAAGTGTTTCGCTTTCCAAATTTTTTTGAATTTAATATTTTCTTATTCTCTAACCTTATATCTATTCATAAAAAAAATTTAAACTTGGGACAGCCATGGGTTTTTTAGTTATTGATTTAAAAAATCAAAAAATAAATATTATTTTCAAAAATAGATGGCGCTCCTTTATAAAATTACGCGTTTTGTTAAAATTATTATTTTTTTTAAACTTTTTTCCATTTTAAACATAAATAATAAGATTTTCCAGCATTAATAATTTTAAATTTCGTAAAATTATTTTATTAATTTGTAAATATAATAGATAAATAAAAATTCATGAAAGATATTACTTATTTTCGGGTTTTCCTTAAATTTAATTGTTTTGACGCCATGATAATTTCGTTTTACGATAGATTATATGTACGCCCAGTAGCCGTTGATGGGTTAATTATTGTTAAAATATTATTTTTTGGTATGTAAAGGAGATCTTGTGCCGCTGGATAAACAAAAGAATTTGCTGGTCCTTTAGGATGAAGAAAATTAATTTTTATTTCATCTCTAACCAATCGGAAACACTGCGTGAATTTTTTGTGTCCCAGGTATTGAGATAGCTTTACTAAATCTCTCAAGTAGCCTCATCTCTTCCTCATACTCTGGTATGGTGGCATAAGAAAAATTTATACTTTTTATATGCTCTTCCGCATATTTATAAAATTATAAAGGTGTAATTATTTGATCAGTATAAGGTCTTTGTAAGCTTGCCTTGACAACTAACCTTTTTACTGTGCCGCCTATGCGGTTGCAGGCACTTTTACCATTTTACCATGTGCCGTAGAAAAAAAATGCCATTCTGCTTGGACACCAAAATCGATTTCATGGTAACAAACATTGATGAAGATTTTCCTATTTTTATATTGAGCTGCTGAACCATCAGAAAAGTAGTAAATTTTTTCTGGTGGAGTGTCGAATTTATTTTTTTTAAAATTAATCAAATGCGATTGGAATAAATGGAATGAAACAGTATTATGAATTAAGGATTCCGATATTACCACAAAACTTAGGTTGTTAATTAGATTGCCTATTTTATAATAAATTGAGAATGGATGCAGCGTAGCTTGCGAAGTTGTCCAATGATAACCCTACTTCATCTTGGACAATAAAGGAATAATTTTCTGAAAAGTCACAAATAATTAGATAGTGATTATTTTCTAAACTATTTTGTGAAATGAACTTTGTTGTTCACAAATAAATGAATGGCGTATGAGAATATTTATTTTATTGAAAAAATAATTAATAAATTCGTCTGAAGATTGAGAAAGTCTCCAGAGTTCTATCTACCGAAACCAATTGTTTAAACGTAATAAGAGCTATATCATTTTTTATAAATAATTTTTCAATGCGTTCTTTTAAGAGTGTCGAGCCAGGACACTCGCTACAGTCACCAAAATAACAGATTGGTAATGGGGGGTTGCAAATCATTCTGCCTATAACATCTCTATAAGTTGTTAATATATCCTCACCATTTTTTGTCAATGTTGCTAATTTACAGCCTAAAATCATTAGTTTAATATTCTGGTGTATGCTACAAACGCATACACTATGTGTTCCGCTAGCCCCCGCCAATATGCAATTTTTTGGTCTTAAGCTTGCGAATTTCGAAAATACAATTATTATGCTTGAATTACTCTCCTTAAAATGATTATATAATTCTTTTAAATTATTAAGAACTAGCCTTTTTGAGCGTTCACTCGTTCCCCCTTTTCAATGATAGATATGCAATCTTTTTTTCCTGGTAATACCCTGCTAACTTCATCACTGCAAAAAAAACTTTTAACAATATCAACTGTTTTTTGATTGAGATATTTTGCAGGCTTTCGATTTGGAGTTGAAAGAATCCCCTTTTCTTCTAAAATGATTTTGGAATTATATGCCATATGATATGTAGCGTTGAATTCCGTTTTTATTTTATTTGCACTCCAATTAGGAGGCAGAATGGTCAGCAATTGATATTTTTTATTTTTAGATAAATTAGGATAATGTAATTTCATATTGTTGAGAATATCATTATTGTCTTTTGTGTCCGATTCTGGATTGTTAATTATTATATCTGAAAGAGCTTTTGATATTTTTGCTATCTTTTTTTTGGATAATTTTTTTCAGTTAGTTTTTTTTTCTTAATAGGAGATATTCCAATTTCGTTTAAGGTTAAATTGATTGTATCTATTGATGCGGATGCTGTGGGGATATTATTTACATATTCGCTATCAGAATTTATATTTTCAATATTTTTTTGTGATAAACGCTTACGACATTTATCACAAATATAGTGTTCTGCCTCAATGTTTGGAAATTGTGTCATCCACGTCGTGACTTTACGCAGGTTCTTTTTACAATTAAAGTGTTTAGATTCTTTAAAAGGATTTGCACATTTATATTTATACATTATAAATAATTTTAAGAAAAAATTAATATTGAAATATTTGTAAAATAAAAATTAATTAATATCAAGGCAGGTGCATGAAAACTTGCTATTATCTTTCAAAAATTAATTATATTTTCTTATATAGGAATTGTAATTATCTTTTTAGGAAATTAATCATTTATTTTAAAAACTAATAATTTTTACAAGTTATCAATAAAGTAATAATAATAAGTAGTCTATCAAATGATCTAAATAATATATTTTCATAATATTAATGCTGGAAAATCTTATTATTTATGTTTAAAATGGAAAAAAGTTTAAAAAAAATAATAATTTTAACAAAACGCGTAATTTTATAAAGGAGCGCCATCTATTTTTGAAAATAATATTTATTTTTTGATTTTTTAAATCGCAATAACTAAAAAACCCATGGCTGTCCCAAGTTTAAATTTTTTTTATGAATAGATATAAGGTTAGAGAATAAGAAAATATTAAATTCAAAAAAATTTGGAAAGCGAAACACTTGGAGTTTTCATGTTTAAAATTTATAACTTAAATAAAAACCGCAACAATATTATTTTGAAAATTTTTTTAATATTCAATAAAAGGCCCTTAATAGAGTTATCAATTGACAGATAACTTATATTTTTTAAATCATTATTTTTTAACTTATCTCAATTTTTAAAAATCGCATTTTTCGAAAAAACGTCATTTTTGGCACTTTTGACCATTGATATCTCAGGAACTATGAGTACTAGGAGGCTAAAATTTTGGATTCGATGCTTTCTAATGATATTCTCTCAGTATACAAAATTTTATCGAAATTAAAAAGGTCGAGCCGAAAAGTTATCGATTTGGTATGGAATTACCCTTTTTTGATTGACACTTTTCCTTTCCTTTTGGGAATTTTCCTTTTTCTATTGACACTTTTCCTTTTTTGATTGGACCTTTTCCTTTTTTGTTTGACACTTTTCCTTTTTTGATCGGACTTTTTCCTTTCTTTTTGGGAATTATCCTTTTTTGATTGACACTTTTCCTTTTATGTTTGGACCTTTTCCTTTTTTGATTGACCTTTTTCTTTTATGATTGACCCTTTTCCTTTTTTGATCGGACCTTTTCCTTTTTTGATTGGGACTTTTCCTTTTTTGAATGGGAAACCCTGTAATATATTTTATACATCATGTGTTATATAATTTAAGGGATAATTTAGTAATTTATAAATATTAAATAAAAATAATTTTAAAAAATTAAATTTATTCAAATATTTCACTTCTTGCATTCATTTATTTAAATATTAAAATAGAAAATAATCGTAATTATAAATATATATAATTTAATTTCGATATTTTATTTAGAAAAAAGTACAAAGAGAGGGAGTTTGAGATAGATATATTAGAACGGCTCCCGAAATATTTATATTTGATTTCAAACTATATCAGGAATAATTTGCGCTTAAGAATATAGGAAATCAAGATACTGCCACTCTGTCAGTTATGTAAGCCAAAAAAAATAATAATTAGTATAAGCAAAACTATGTCTAGGCCACATAAATAAGTGTTTAGGAGAGAAGCCCTAAAAATAATTCATAAACCCCCCCCTCCCTCCCACTTCTGACAAATATAGTGATAAAATTATGTCTTAAAATTATAGCTTGGCATTATAAATAAGATTAATATGCATTTTAATTTCGTTAATAACTTGATCGCATCTTCTTTATCATTAGATTATTATGACAAATTTTTTTAGTAAGAAATATTTTATAATATTAAAAAAATCAATTAAATAGTAAATTTTATTATTCGTTTTTGAATAAGCCTAATATATATCAAAAAATTCCACAATAATATCAAGATGGAAAATAAATTTACAAATCTTCGAATCCAGGCATTGGGTAGATCTGGCACATGAGTGAATGGGTTACAACTGAGAGTGCAGGATTATTGGTGTCAAATGTTGCTTGTTCGTTCCTTACCTTTTCGTTCCATTGCATTAGACCAGACCAGATTATACTTTGACATCTAATATTTTCAGACCCTTTGACGTTATGCGTTATGGCTATAATGATTAAAGTAAAAAATAATAAATTTTAAAATTTAACTAATTATAGACAATTATTATTTTTAAATTAACTTTTTTATTTTTTTTAAACCGAGACATTGGTCATATTATAACTTTATAATTATAATGTTTGTTCCTTCTTTGGAGGATAATTAAAATTTTAAGAAAATATATTAAATTTCAATGACATGTTAAGGGCTGTTGTGGTTGTGGTTGATAGCTATCTTGATTAAATTCTTGTTTAATTGGAACTGAAGGGGTTTGTAAACGAACAATTGAAGCCTCTTTTTCGAGCGATCTGATGTTATTGTTAAGACTGATGAAATTTGATTCGATTCTAGGCAGAGATTTAGTCATAAATTGATTACTAGTATCGCTTTGTGGTAAAGAAGGGGTAGGGGTAGGATATGCTTTGTAAGAATTGCACATTTGAGAATTGTCGATCGAATTAATAGATACATAACGAGCAGGCTATTAAAATATTACAATAAATAGATAGGAGGGTAGAGATTTGATAAAATAATTTATACTGAAAATAAATTTAACAGAATATGGACATAGAAAAGAGACACCTGTAAAAATAAAGTGGAGGGAGAAAGATAAAGGGCTAAAAAATAGCGAAGTTTAACAATTCAAGGAGTAAACTTCTTATTTGGTATAAGTAATAAGATTAAATAAATATAATAAAATCATTCAAGCCATATTAAGAAAATTATAACTATATATAACGGTTGGAGACCAATACTTTCATTGAGGTACTTATCATGGAATTATGTTTTTTATTCTAAATACCTGAGCAGATATATAAGATGTTGTGATGGCTAATGTATTTTCGTAATTTGCAGATTTGTCAAAATTAATATTCAATAAGCTATGTGATGCTGTAGATATCTTGCTAAAACTGTTTGATGCATTTTGTGTATTGGGGTAACCATTTTTAACAACTTCGTTTAAAAATTTTAATTATATATCAAGTCAGTTGCATAAAGGTAAAAAACTAACCTGATTGATCCATTGAACTTTCTGATTTAATATCCTTATTATTAGTTGTCAAATTAAATAAATAAAAATATTTTACCCTTTCAATAAATGAACGATTTTCAATGTTAACTGCTATAATAAAATATAGGTATAAATTTTTTATCTAAAATTGCAAAGTGAACTTGATTTTGTTTCTGAAAGTAAAAAGAAATCATTTTGAGATACTTTCATGTCGATTGATAAATTCGATTTTACTTTAACTAAATAACAAAAATTTAGTCATATTATAAATGAACTAGAGCCTTCCATGGGCCGATAAGAGCCCAATCCGATAAATTTGGGTCTGTCCTTGGGCAGACATTTTCTCGGATTTTAATTAAAATTTATCCTAGCATAGGAACCTGGACAAAATTTATTTTTATTTTGTTTTCTTAATGATTATAAAAATTGTTTTTAAATATAACCAAAAAATTGTTTATTAGCTTATAATTTCCAATTTCGTTGAGATATCGTTATTTACAAGTTAATAAAAAAAATTGGATCGAAACCTACTTCTAAAATAAAATTTGGGATTGGACTCGGATCTTTAAAAAAAAAATTCAGGGATCGATTGGTTGGACAAATTTTTTAAAATTCTCCTCGGATCGAATCTGAAAAAGAGGCCCGATGAAGGGCTCTAAAATGAACAGTTTAATCATAATTATTACAATAAAAATTATATATTTGTAAAAATATGCTAGTATAATTTAAAATTCTTAGAATTATTAGTGATGAGCATATAAAATATCATGGGCCTCATAGTCGAGCATCCATAAAATATATGATAGCCCGGGATTTCCCATTCTTCCTTTCTCCCTGATTGAATGTCACAATTAATGTTAAACATATCAGGTGGAACCGGATGGCAAAAAGTAGCCAAAAAATTATTTGCTATATCTGCTTCTTAGAGGTGCACTGATATCATTTTTTAGAGGCCGATTTTATTTTGCTATTATCAAGGTTGGGCGATTAGTGTTTAAGATATAAAAGGTTTTATAAGAATAAAATAATATTTTATTTTAACAAGATGAAAAGAACAAAAGATAATTTAACTTTAACAATATGTTTATATATTCATCGAAAGTACATTTTCGATAATCGATCCTTTATTATTATATAATTGTATAAATTGTATCCTAAAACGAAATACAATTTATTTAAAGTTAACACATTACAGTTCTCTCCACTACAAATTGAATTAGTCATGAAAACGTAGTAGGGGTTTCGAAGCTCTATTTTTAAGAGTCTGCATCGTATCATCCCTCATTGTTATTGGTATTACCTTTTATTGTACATGAGCATCCCTCAGTTGGTAGGCATACTTACTTTTTATAAAACCCTCAGACTAAACATCATATCGCATTTTTCCGTTGATCCACTGTCCCTTCATGCCATCCCGCAGTCCTTTCGTTTTCGACCCAAACCTTTTGCTTCTCTTCAAATTCACGGGGCTCAAAGTTTATACTTTGTAATATTTTTGTTCCCATAATGCGTTTTCAGTCTTTTCTCTCGTAGATAGTTTCCCCTGATTTAACGTCGTCCTGAGCGGCCTTCCAAACATCATTTCTGCAGGGGATTTAGTTGCATTTGAAATATTTCGGTTAGTAATTAAAACATTCGCTAAATTTAACTGGTTTAGAGTCCCATTTAAACATGTGTTAAAATTTCAACTTTAACACATTTAATGAAGAATTCTCTAAGAAAGGACATTCCAAAAATAAGGGAATTCTCTCCTTTACTCAGCGTCTATATATGCGGGAGGGGTAGGAACAGTTTGCATCCTATTTTTTGAGGGGGGTAGGGGGTAAGCTGCTTTAATGGGGGTAGGATAAATTTTTTGTGGGGTTATCTATTAAATTTTGAGATGAAATAGGACAAAATTTATTGCTGTAAAAATTAATACTTTTATTATAGTATTATTATAATACAATTCATTGACCAAATCTATATATTGCAAACAATCATACACATTGTTTTCCAAATAAACTATCCTTTTAAATGTAATTTAAAAGGTTTCGATATTTCAGCAAGCTCATAATGCCATAATAATTAATTCATTGTAAATAATGGAGGTTTTAATTGAATTTATTATCTAAAAAATAAATTCTTTATATTCACAAAATATCGATAGTTGGTAGTAGAGATAGATTAATTTAAGTTATCATTTATAAATTCTTAGAAAAGAGTATCAATAAATAAATAGGTGAAAATAATAATAAAGAGAAACCGCCGCCGATGGCTGCGCGAATTTTTTAGGGTGGTAGGCATAGGTTTATGAAGGGGGTATGCATCCAGTGAAAATCCTGTTATGTAGACGCCTTTACTACCCAAATAGGTAAAGATAATGTTTTATAATTCGACTTTCTTTTGATATTGTTACACCTCACTAGTTTATAAGCAGTTGATAATGATCGTTTGCAAATACGTCTCCAGGCTACTTCATCTATTGCATGCAGCCCCGAATTCCATTGTAAACCGCAAACCATTTATCTTCGCATCAATGGTAGTTTTATTAGGAAACAAAAGGCGAGGTGTCCTTGCAAGAGTTCTACAATCTTTTGCTATGTGATTTGCTTTGCCGTATCGAATGCATGTGATTTGATTTAACATTTGCTATTAAAGTAACCTAATTAGAGAAATGCTGGAAATTTCTATAATTTTCTGAGAAAAACTTACGAAAATTTATTTAAAAGGAAAATTAAAAATATTTTATATCTTTTAATAAGTAATAATAACAATTAGAATCTAGTGAGTTCTAAATACTCTGTGGTGTATTTAATAAATATTTTTCGTCGTTTAACTGCAGTTTCTCGTGCTTTTTTTCAAAATCAAATATTCTATAATATATAAACTGATTATCAAAACATTTTGTGCTTGATTAATTTAATTAAATAACTTTGAAAAGTCATCCAAGCTATTAATGGTGTAGGGTTCAACATGTTTGATTTAATTCATGAATCATATACATAATAAATAAATCATTGTTAAAAACTATGCCCTATGGGTCAATCTATTACAAATGAATCTATGTATCGGGCGACCATCTAAAAATGAATGAAACTTGTGTTAGTTATTATGTTGCAAATTTTTGTAAAATCAAAATTTTATAGCGCTAGATCAACTAGATCCAAGGATATACGCTTTCAGGCGATGCATAATTTCATTAAATATTGATTTTAAAAAAATACTTAAGATATTATTGTAAATTAAATTTATGAATTTATAGCCATTAAAATTTTACATTAAAAAAAATCTATAAAATTATTTTATAAATTCAAGTGTCTTCTTATTTCCGGTAAAAATAAAAAATTAACATTATTAAGAAAGGATTTTTGTGGGTGAGATGATATTCTCTACGAATGTTTATTATCTTTATATTAAACTGTTTAATTTTTTAAATTTTATTTAAATTTTTATTATTTTTATAAATAAAAAATAAGATATAAATAGTTTAATATTCAAAAATCATTATAAATTAATGTATTTAATAAAAATATGAATTATATGGTATTAAAATTTAAAAAATCCATTAAGTATAACCAATATGATGTCCTGGAGCCATATAAGCAGGCAGCCCATACAGATGATTATTATTGGGATGCAATATTGTAAAATAAACATATTTTAAAATTTATATACTATTACAAAAAATATCTCTAATTTTTAACCTATTCCATTTTGCGCTAATAGAATTTCCTGAATATCGTCCTAATAATAATCATATCTGTATGGGCTGCTTTGCTTACAATTCGCCCCAAGACATCAGGTTATGCTCAGTGGATTTTTTTATTTTAATACCAATACAATACATATTTTTATTAAATATATTATATTAGAGATGTAAATTTCCTGGGAAAATTAGTTCAGGGGAAATTTCCCTAGAAAAATTGGGGAAAAAGGGGAAATTAAAAAATAACCACAAAAAACACTTTAAACCTTTTAATTTTTTTATTGAATAACTTTATTAATTAAGGAACTAAGGGAAAATAAAATAATTAAACAATAAAGACAAAAATACACTAAAAACATTTCATTTTTTTATTGAATAACTTTATTAATTACAAGAAGGTATTATAAATTCCTATAAAATTCATGGGATGCTAATGAAATAGCATTAACATCTTCATGGGATGCAATTGAAACATCATCTTATCACTTACTCTTTTGATGATATCCCGAACATGAGATATTTGTGTGATCCTTTAAATGTATGTTATGTCTGATATTAATTTTTCGACACTTTCATTTTTTTTTCTAATTTTTCCAGCTGACCAGACTCTTTCTGACGAGGCACTTGAGGGTGATATCGAAAGGCATCTCACTGCCACTTGACAAAAGGGTTGATTTGTACACAACCCTTTCAGGGGCCCCTACATCTATGGGGAGGGGGGGGGGGGTCAGAAGCAACTGCTTCAGTAAATTTGAGTGGGGGTACTTTTTTTTACATCCATCATGATCATGTGATTTCTGGTTTATAAATGTAACAATAAGACCCTTCCCCCCCACTTAATATTTAATTTAATATATTGACGGAAATTTTGGTCGATATTTAGTAAATTTGTTATCCGAAATTTCTTGTCATAAATTATTTTTCCAATTTTAAAATATGCCTAAAAATATTAACCAATATTGACAATAGCAAAATTCCTAGAAATTGGACTACTTATAGTATTAAAATGTATAAAGTTTTTTGCTTAACATGTCTTTTATTTGGTGGTCCACACGCAAATTCAAAATGGACATGTGAAGGTCTAGATAAATGGCAAAATATTAATCGTGATATTATTCTGCATGAATCTTCACAGGCACATATGCTGGCCGATTATGGAAGGCTTTCTCATAAGAAAAATTCGATATTAAAATTTATAACACCTCAGAAAGAATGTGTAGATAATAACCGTTCTATTATAAGAATTATAATAAGATGTTTAGATTATTTAATATCTCGTAACCAAGCCTTCTGGGGGAACAGGCAACAAGAAGGCAATATGATGGCCCTTATTAAGCTTATTGCAGATTCTGAACCTATACTAAAAATGTATACACAGCAAAATGAAGAAAGAAAAAAGGATAAAAAAAATAAGGGATTAAAAACGAAATTATATTCAAACCTATTATCATATAATAACATAAACATTCTCATTGAAACCATGAAAAATATGGTTATAAAAAAAATTCAAAATGAGATTACATTTAACAGGTGCTTTTCAATCATAGTTGA